CCGGAGAGAGGGAGCCGCTGGCCGTGGTGGGCTCCCCGTACTGGATGGCGCCCGAGGTGCTGCGAGGGGAGCTCTACAACGAGAAGGTGAGGCTCCGTGGCCGCCGCGCGTGGGGCGTTAGCTCAGCTTGCGCCGGGGGAGCTTGCGGGATTTGTGGCCCTGGGGAGGAACTGCGCATCCCTTGGGGGACAAGCTGGCAGGGCTCCCGGTGCAGCTCCATGGGGAGGAGGGGAGCTGTGAGTCCACAGAAGGTCACGTCGCCTCAGGGCTGCGTGCCCCCCCAGTGACTCCCTGATCTTTGCAGGCCGATGTGTTCGCGTACGGCATCATCCTGTGCGAGACCATCGCTCGCGTCCCTGCTGACCCCGACTACCTGCCCCGCACCGAGGTGACTCGTGGGGACGGGGAGGGCGGGTGGTGGGCCGTGGCGCCGTGCCTGGGGCCACTTCACTAAGTGAGAGGGCACCATCCCCCTGTGCTGGGCAGAGCCTTGTGTGCAGGAGCTGCCCCACGTCTCAGGGCAGGGGTGCTGTGTCTCACTGTCTCCTGGCACCAGGAGGGATGCTCTCTGCTGAGCACCTGTCCTCAGAGCCCAGAGTCAGCCTGGGTGGGAGAAGGGGAGGGTTGGATTCAGTAAGAGAGCCAAGAAGGATCTGTGTTCCAGCATCCCTCAGCCTTGCCCCAGCTTGGGATGACACCTTGGTGCCCCCTTGCCGTGCCCCAGATGGGGTGCTGCCAGGTCCATAGCCCTGCATGGCGCACATTCAGTGTGAGGAGGGGAGCCCAGGCCTCCCCGGGTTTCCTTGTCCATGCAGTGGCCCAGGGGACCTGACCTTACCCTTTTTCCATTCCCTGACACAGGATTTTGGCCTGGATATCACCACTTTCCGTACCATGGTGGGAATCGACTGCCCGTCGGCCTTCCTCCAGCTTGCTTTCCACTGCTGCAGTGTGAGCCTCCCATCGCAGCCGGGGCAGGCGCCCTGTCTGCACGGGGTGGGGGGTGCAGGGAGCTGCCTTGGCTGGGCAGGGCTCCTTGGGGTGCTGGGGGCGGGCAGAGAGCTCACCCACAACCCCTCCTGTCCACAGATGGAGCCCACCTCCCGTCCCTCGTTCCTGGAAATCACACAGTGCCAAAAAAAATCCTGCAGCACCAGCCCGGCATGGAGAGCGCCGGAGCCACCCTCTTCGGCACTGCGGAGAGCATGCCCACTCCCGGCACAGCGACCACCCTCAACAGTACGTGGGGGCCCCAGGGATGTGAAGAGTGGGGTGGT